CCACCCTTCCAAACATGATGTCCTTCTGCAGGGACTAATCCCTCCTGGCCACATACCCAAAGTATATAAGATGGAGCTTCAAAATTCTTACCTCCAAGGAGAAATTTGGTTCCACCCTCTCCAAAAGAGATCTATTTGTTCTCCTGGTGGTCCATAGTACGTTTAATACTGTTCTCCAGCACCACAACTTGAAGGCATCTATTCCTCTTCTGTCATTCTTAGTCATTGGCCAGTTCTCTATGTTTCTCTGAAACATGGCAAGTAACTGTGAAGACCATGGCCTGGATCAGATAAACAACAGACTTCTCCAATGCAATTCATCTTTTGATTTCCTGACACTGGTATCAATAGTGTTGACTGTGGAGCTGAGCAAGCTCAAATTGTTAACAACCTCAGTCTCTTCTCCATCTATCATGGTGCTGCCAATTGGCCCAGTGGTGAGAATCTTTGTATTTTTTATGTTGAGCTTCAATTCATATTGTCAGTAGATGAAGACACGGAAACAACATTCCAAGTCATTCAATAGATACTTTCTGAGCTGCTCATTGAGTAGCTGTCAAATACTATACTCTGGTGGCTCTGTGGGTAAAGTATTAAGTTGCTAACCAAAAGGTCAACATTTTGAACCCATGAGCTGCTCCATGGGAGAAAGAGGTGGCAGTCTGCTTTTGTAAAGATCTCAGCCCTGCAAGTCTATAAAGCCTTCTCCTCTGTCCTTCAGGTCACTGTGCACAATACGGTGGTACATGTGGGTTTTGTTGTGGTCTTTGTTTGGTTTTCCCATGTTGTGTGCTAGGCATTGTGCTAATTAAACTGATCAAAGAGTACCTTAGTGGCATCAGTAATCCAAGTAATGTATCAAGTACTTCGTGAACATAATCCCATCTAACACAAAATCCCATTTAATGTGTAAATCTGTGCACTAGGGATTTTTATTCCCATTTTACAGATGCAGAAACTGAAACTTAGAGGAAGAATGATATTATTTCCAGTGACATATGTCTGACCAGGTTTAATTTCATTGGCAGGACTCTTGGCAGCCAGCAAAGGAGCCCATACCTACCATCAAGGAGCTCACAGCCCCACAAGGGAAATGCACATGTAAAAACATCAAACACCCCCCAACCCTCACCTCCTTGTATCCCCATTATGTTTTTCCCAATAAAATTAAAAAAAAAAACAAAAAACAAACACAGAAACACATCAAACGCCCAATGTGCCATCTGGCAGACAAGTTGCTGGGAGAAGCAGTGGCCATGTGTCCACAAGAACTCATAACCATGGTGTTCACACTAGGTGCACGACTCGAATCACTGGGCTACACTGGACACAAACCAGTCTGAGCCTTGGCGTAGTCTCCGGTTGCTGTGTCATTAGCCTGAAGCTGTCACAGTGATGTTCTGCTTTGGTGATCCTTAAATATACACTCATGATAAGGCCCCCAGTCATGGAGCCTTTGCAATGTCAGGCCAACATCTGATGTGAAAATAAGTACTCTAGACAGAGCGTCGCACATTCTTTATCTGGAGGGGCTGAGCATTCCAAGATTTCACAGTCAAAACCACGTGCTTGAAGAAGTGTCAAGTTCAATTATTAATGGGTGGGAGATATAAAAGCAGCCACTCACACTGCAGGAGACTCTGAACTAAGACGGGAGACACACATTATTTTGTTTTCCTCCGCTGTTTCAAAAGATGAGGTGAAAGACAACAGACACTGACACGTCCCCAAGATTAGCTCTTAGTCAACAAACACCACAACGAAATATCATTCCCTACTGTGTTTGAATTTTACAGCTTACAAAGAATTTTCATAAACTTTCAGTCATTCAACAATGTATAGCAGTAATCAGCTAGTGACAATAATACTGTGTAACAAGTGACCACAAAGAACTCAGTGACATGGTCAGTATTTGGTCTTCGTTAGCGCTTCTGTGACCCAACTGGGCGTCTACTCCACACATCCCACTCAGAGTCCAGGGCTGGAGGGCCAGTGGCTACCCAGAGTGTGTTTTCCCCTGACTTTGGTAGAAACACAAGAGGGTGACCAGGAAAGCATACACACACCACACACACTGCACAAGTCGCCTTCACCAACATCTCACTGACCAAACCCAACATTAAAGATGATGGAAGATAAACATCACCTGCTGGGAAACCAAGGTGAGGATATGAGTATGTAACACTAGCAAAGAAGAATGTTAGGGGAGCTCATGCAGCCTAAAGGTAAGGAGTTGCACTGCCAACTCAAAGGCACGGGTTCAAATCCACCAGCTGCTCTGGCAATCACCCCCTGTGCCATTTACAGCCTCTGAAACCCTGGTGGAGGGTCAGCTATACGTCAGTTCCAACTTTGCAGCACACAACAAGAAGAGAGGGATGAAGAATTGATAGCAGTAACTGTTACATCACACTTTCTAGCAACCCTGAAAAGTAGACATGATTGATTCCATTTTAAAATTTTTTCAGCTGAGAAAACTGAGCCTCAGGAGTTACTGTTGCCTGTTCAAGGCAACACTGGCAGTCTGTTGTTCTGGCAAAATCATAACTCAGCACTCTGGTCTGCTGTGGTTTCTTCAAGGACTTCATTTACTGACATGTAACTAACAGGCATCTTTAGTCATCCCTTCCCTTAGAGATAACAGTTCTCTCCAAGAAAGGCCAGCCCCAGCACTGTCTCACCCTTGCATGATCTCAGTGTTTAACATTTGCTGAGGACTTTCTGCAGTGTCTTTACAAGCCCTCTTTTACTGCCACCACACTAATGAATTATTTATGGTGGGAAATCTGAATCAGAAAAGCCCTGGCTACTTGAAAACAGACATTATCAGCAACATCCCTTTCCCCCTGCACTGAGAAACCTCAGAAAGCCACAGCCACAGCCATGGAGTCTATTCTAACTCACAGCGACCCTGCAGGACAGAGCAGTAAAGACCATAGTGTTCCCAAGGCTGTAAATCTAGACCAACGCAGGCCTCATCTCCTTCCCACTGAGAGACAGGGTGGTGGCTTGGGGCTGCCAACCTTTGGGTTACTGGCCCCGCACAGACAATGCTTTGCCCGCTCTGAGCCTTGAAGATTGCACAAGAGCTGGTAGAATAAAACAACTGGAGGCTTCAGAGGAAAGACTATGGAAGACATGAATTAGATGATAATTCTTTGAGAGGCTGTGCGATCCTTCACTCAGAGTCAGCAAAACCTTCATTCCTACAACAAATAACGATTACAGGCTGGCACTCAGAAGTGAGGGATGGAGGGGGCTACACGTTAAACACTCATGGGATGCATTCTGATGTAAAGACAGCCTATTGTTAACACAGAAACTCGAAACTAACTCCAGAGTTTGTTGTTGTTGTTAGGTGCTGTCTAGGCCACTGTGATTCATGGCGACACTATGAACAGATCTGAACCTTGCCCTCAATGAGCCATCCTCTTGTCTCTGATGGACTCCAACCTACTCTTCTGTACTCACGGTGCCAATCCACCTCACTGATAGTCTTCCTCTCTTTTCCTCCACATTTCCCAGGGGAACATCTTTTTCCAAGGGCTGGGAAAAGAGAACTGTTCAGTATGGTCTTCCTATGTGTAATGTTCATGGAAGTCTATCACCAGGCCTTTTTCTTTTTTTCCACAAAAAACCTTGGCGGTCATTGACATTAATAAAAAAATTAAATTAAATAATTTTTTTTTAAAAAAACCTTGGTGGTTTCCAACTACCAATCTGAGTAGTCTGAGGGATTCACCTTGAAAAGACCGACCACTATACAAAGAGTTAACATTCTGCAGGGAGGGGTAGCTGCTTGGGGGGCAGGGGTGTGAAGGAATGAAAAAGTCAAAGCAAACAGTAGTTTAGCATCCTAAGGATTGTGATGAAACTGGCCTTGAGACCTTTGGTGACTTCATAGCTCACCATTTCTCCAAGCCCAGGGCCCTTTCATCTGGAAAACCGCGTAACCATGCACAGAGCCAGTTAGGGTTAGGGTCATAAACCCAGGTGCACCTCTCTAAGCTGTCCCTTAAGTTTCTTTAATCACCAGCAGTGAGGGAGGCGTGAGGGGGAGCTGCTGTTGGGAGAAGGGTCTCTCCCTTCAAGCTCTTTAAAACTCCTGAGCTGGTCATACTAGAGAGGTTTCTGACAGAGGCGCACGGCTTCTCAAAATAAAAGCCCAACTCCATGAACAGGGGTGATTTGGGCCAAGAGAGGGATAGAGACCTCTGGCCTGCCCCCTGACCTTGTGGACACTGGACTCCCGCAGCGCACTCTCACGATGGGAAAAGGAGACTGTCCCTGCTCTCCAGTGACCCTTGGGGTGGTGGGGGGAGGTGGGGAGAGATGTTCTCCAGTCTCCAGGTTCCCATCCCTTTTCCAGCAGGGGAAGCAGGCCAGAGTGCGGGCTCGCTGAGTGACAGTTCCGTGCATGAGCTTTGCCCCAAACTTCTTCCTGGCTGCGCTGGGTCCTCCTTGCTGACACCTTGCTGGGCTGATGTGACTGCGGGGGTGAGACGGTGACAGCTCAGGGAAAGGGGGGCGGTGCTGTCCTGGTCCCCAGACATCGCTGGGCCTCCTCCACCTCCTCCTCCAGGCCCTCCAGCCTGGTCATCAGGCCTGGTCATCAGGCCGCGGCAGCTGCGCCCCAGGGCGGGGAGGGCGCGCGGAGGTGCCAGGGGCGCCGGGCGCCGGGAGACGGGCTGGCAGCGTGGCTTCAAGTTTCCACTGTGCGCGGTTGTGCAACCGCGAGGAGCAGGAGCCGCGGGCGGCGCGGAAAACAAGCCCATAAACAAAGCCACGTGGCCCCGGGCTGGGGGCCGGGCCAAGAGCAGGCAGCTCTTCCGGCAACAAAGAGCCCGGGCCGGGGCGCCCCATAAATAGCACGGCCGCGCTCGCCGCGCAGCACTGCACAGAGCCGCCTGCGCCCCTCTGGTCCGCGCCTCTCCCGGCCACCGCAGGGGACCCGGCTCTGCACCTCCAAACCACAGCCGCTGCCGGCATCCACTCCCCGCGCGCACCCCCTCGCCGGTCCCCAGCACGCCGAGCTCCCGCCCGGGGCAGCGCGTCTCCGAGACTACCGGGCCCCGTCCACTGGTCAGTCCCATCCGTGAGTCAGTGCGTCCGCTCTCGGGAGCCATGCCGTTCCTCGGACAGGACTGGCGGTCCCCGGGCCAGAGCTGGGTGAAGACTGCGGACGGCTGGAAGCGCTTCCTGGATGAGAAGAGTGGCAGCTTCGTGAGCGACCTGGGCAGGTGAGGGGACCCGGCCCGCCAGGGCTCGTAGAACTGCTGGACCGGGGCACAGAGGGCTGGGACGAGGTGGGAACGGGGGCGCTGGCTGGAGATTGGGGGTGAGTTGTCTGGACTGTTGGCGGGGTGGCCAGAGCGCCAGAGACTGACTGCGACCTCAGTTTCTCTTACTGTTCAAGGTCACACTGTCCACAAGTGGGCGCGACTCCCAGGTGCCTGAGCCGCTCTGAAACATTGACGACCTCAGATTTATTCCCAAACACGCAAACTTAAGTTCATCACTTTACAGGGTCCTCCGCGTCAGGCCCAGCGGGACTGTCATCCAGTTTGCGCGTTGGGGTGCGGGCGAGTGTGTGACACACTTTTCACTGCCAGGGTGCTAGGGGCCTGAGCGCTGGAGACAGGATGGGGACGGTCAGGAGATGGCTTGGGACGCAGGTCGCGCGCCTGGAGCGCCGCCAGCACCTTCCCACGCACAGGCGACCGCAAGGTGGGCAGGAGGATGAGTAATCGGGAAGCGGCGGCGAGGGGACAGGCCAGATGGTCCCTGGGCAGCGGCCGAGCTCGCGCAACCGCGCGGGGGCTGCAGGGGAGCGGAGGCAGCGGCCTCCCACCAGCTCCATGGAGCCCACGCGCCCTCTGCTCCCTGGAGGCTGACGCATTTGCACCTGTTTCTCGGTGGCCCTGCCGCTAGCCTTCTTTCTCTGCAGAACCAGTGCACACTCATTCCAGGTGGTGTCTGTCCACCCTCCTGCCTCCTGTGAGCTCTGGACTCCCGTCTCACCTGGGCTCTGCCAGGCGCCAAGCCAAGGATTCAACTCGTGAAGGTTTAGAAAACAAAATATCAACTAGATGCCATCAAGTCAGAACCGATTCAAAGTTCACCCTCGGGTGGGATTGCTAAGGTTGTCAATCTCACAGGAGGAGATTGCCTTTCTTTTCTCTCGCTGGTAAATTGGAACCGCCAAAAAGATGGGGTCTTTGGTTTAGTGGCACTGCCACTTCGACTAAGCTACAACGCTCTGCCCAATCAAACAAGTGAAGGCTAATAATTCAGGGGGTTTGGAATCTAGCAAAGGCTGACTTTCAGATTTTCACCTATGATCTCCGGAAAGAGAGCGATGAGTGTGGGGTCACACAAGGAGAGGTGCTTCCTGGTCACCCCTGGGTGCCTGCCTATTCCCGTGCATTTATTTGATTACAGTTACTGGCCCTCCCCCCTCCCCGTTCCAGTGGGTAGCCTTATAAAGGAACCTGCTTCGCTTTAACTAAGATTCAGTAGTGGTGGTTTGGATGAACTCTTGACCCTAAATTTTAAGAGAATTATCAAGAAAATGTGGTTATTTTGACAGCTTGACCTCCAGGTCCACCCTCTCCTGTTTGTAATCTGTAAAACATCACACTCCCTTTGTGTCCATTTGAAAAGAAACAGGTGGTTTCATCTTGAGGTGCATGGGGAGAGATATATGGATACTGACCTTTACTGCAGGGACACTTTGAAGGGGTCTCTTGGAGTTTGGGGAGCACCGAAAGTAAATCTGCTCCTGAAAAATCTAATAAGTAATTCAAAAAAGGGGGTGTTTGGGAGGAGCTTAACTGATGTCACCACAGTGTAATCTTCTAAGAACCCAAGCTCCCAATTATGCCAAATAATGCTCTCTCATCACTGTACAGTAGGAACCAACTCAGCTGACCCTCCAGTGGGTTTTCGGAGGCTGTAAATCCCATCAGAGATTCCCATCTTTCTCTTTCAGAGCAGCTGGTAGATTAGAACTACCTACCTTTGGGTTGGCAGCACAACTCCCCCAGAGCTCCTTTATGCCTCAGTTAAATAGGAAAGGATTAATAATAAAAAAAAAAGGAAGAAGCTTCCCTCTCTCCAACTCCACTAAGCAATAGATGCCCTAGCATTTGCATTTTGGTTCTTTAATTTTTGTTAGTTGCTGCCATGTCAAGTCACTTCTGTTTGTGGTGACCATGCATGCGGAGCTGTTCCTACCTGTGAGTTTTTGAGGCTGTAGCTCTCAGAAGCAACTCGGGCCTGCTTGCTTCTCTTTGGTGCCTTTTGTTCCTATCTAACTTCTAGTAAGAACTGAACCACAGCTGAGCCTCCAGCAGGCTTTCAGAGACAGTAAATCTGTCGGGAGGAGACTATTCGTCCTTCTCCTGAGGAGCAGCTTGTAGATTCGAACCGTGTGCCTTCGGGATTGCAGTGGAGTCAGATTGCCAACCTTCCAGCTAGCACTGCAGTGCTCAGCCATTTGTATCACACAGGAGCTCTTTGAGACTTTATATAAAACTTGCAATTTCTTTAGAGAGGTGCAGCAATGGGCTTGCCCTCAACTGTGATTGTGGGGTGCTCCTCTGTGGGGAGCAGCAGACTGTTGGTTACTGGAGGAGAAGAGTTCAAAGGCAGCTTTTCTGGCTGGTATGAATATTGGACTCACAGAGTTCTGGCCCCAGGAGATAAGCTGGTATGACTCTCCTTAGAAGTAAACAGTTGTGTCTCTCTCTTCAGCAGTGAAAGGCCTGGTTTTAACTTACCCTAGAAGTTAAGACTAGACCAGGATCAAGTGGCTCCACACCCCTTTGTCCAGGACAGACCTTCTTTTCTACTCTGTCATCCCATGCCCTTGAGCAGGGGCTGTGACTTGCACTGTTGTTATGGTGACCCATCCACCTGTGGTCATTATTTGATGAGTCAGAGTTGAACAGTCACTGGTTCAGCCAGTCAGCTGGCTGTTTGCATGGTTTTTTAATTGTGTTGATTTGGTTTATCCTCGCTCCCCCCCTCCCCAGCCTAGCAATTGTAAACAATCCCTCTCTACATAACAGGAGAAGTGGGCCAACTTCTTAACAGCACTTGGCCTTCTGAGGCCTGGGTTTGTCGTCTCAAATATCCCCACTGTTTTCGTGGAGTGATGTTGCCCTGTGACGTCAGGTTTGGGCTGAGTGCCTGGCTGCAGGTATGCTGAATACCTCTCCTGTTTGAGAAGACAAAAAGCATGGAGCAGCAGAGGACAGAGGGAGGGCGCCCTGGGGAAAAAAGAACTCCAGAGGCCCGGCATTGTCTATAATCCCAATTCCTGGAAGAAGGTGCATTGGGTGGTTTCCACTCTAAGACTAGTGGTGAGTTTTGCCACACCTTTGTGGACCCCATGGTCACTGTCTCCATGGGCCAGGCCCCTGTCCTCCTTCAATAGTACAGTAGTACAGAGCCCATCACAGCTAAGTGCCCAGAACTGAAATAACACCGAGTTTGAGATACGCTTTGAGCAGGCCTCCTTTTCTCAAAAGGTTAAAAACCCATCACGTAGAAGAGGAATTTGTTTTACCAATTGCTAATGAGTCAACCTCAATTTATGGTGACCCAGCTCATAATCCCAGCTCCTGGTGACACCAGGCGTGTCGGAGTAGAGGGGTGCTCCGCAAGCTTTGCAGTGACTGGGTAGATGCACTGGGCTGAACCACCAGATCCCCAGTTTTCTTTGAGGAGTCTCTGGGGAGACTTGAACTAACAACCTGTTGGGGGGCATCACCCAGGAACTCCAAAAGGGGAATAGTCAGTGTTAACTTTGGTGAGGCAGGTTAAAAATTGAAGAGAAAGAGCCCAGCATGGGGCGGTCCGAGGATGCCTCAAGGAAGTGGTGAGTGAGGCCCCACCACCACTACCCAGGCACCTCATATGCCCTCAGCCTGGCTCCCATCCCACCCCCAAGATGAATAATCGGTGATATTTGACTCACTCTCCTCCAGCATCTCATGGCTGCAGTTGAAAATTTGATGTTGATTTACTGTCAAGCTAAAGGCTGAACCAGGAAGCAAAATGTTGCCCTTGGGGCCCTGGATGAATCGTGTGTATGAAATAAAAATAAGAGTTAAATTACAGTTTCAACAAATTTAAAAGGGAAGACCCTCTATGAGGTGCATTGATTCAGTGACTGGGGTAATCGGGATGGGTGTGTCGGAGACAGTGCGATTGGCACAGGACAGAGCAGAGTTTAGGGCTGTTGTACATGGGGTCGCTACTGGACGGCACATAAGAACAACAACAAAAAAATAAAAATAAAAATAAGGTTTTATTAAGTGCTTACTATATGCCAAGCACTGTTCTAAGAGCTTTAGACACCAGTTTGATTTTGTCACCAGAGAAACCCAGGGACTAGTCGTGTGAGTGTGGCAATGTGGGCAAGAAGTGGAGCAAGTGAGCCCAGGAATCTCACTGGCCTTGACTGAGGCTCAGTAAGCGCAGAGGTGCCAGTAAGCACAGGGCTTGGGAGGATGCCACAGATCAGGCGGGTCGTGTTATGCTGTGTGTCGAGGCACTGTGACTCAGAGCTGACTCAGTGCACCAAACAATAACAACAGAAAGTTTTCTGGTGGAGCAACCATTAAGCACTTGCCTGCTAGCTGAAAAGTCAATAGTTCGAACTCACCCAGCTGCTCCAAGGGAGAAAGACTTGTAGCTCTCCCATAACGATTCACTCACCCTCCTGATTAAGTTAAACCAACTCATAGCTGACCCTCCCTTGGGTTGCCAAGGCTATAAATATGAGGAGATTGCTGGGGGGTGGGGCTGCTGATAGATTCTAACTGGCAGAGGGGACTGGCCTTTGGGTTAACAGCCGGACTCTTCAAGGATTAAGTCACCAGCTCGCTCTCTCTCTGGTAGAGAGTACAGCCTAGAAAACCCAACGAGGCAGTTCTGCCTGGGCACAGGGGATGAGCCAAAATCAGCTTGATGGCATCTACCAACTACCCCCTTTGGGGCAGACCGCAGCTTTCTAAATGGCCCATGATTGTTGCAAGTGAAATGACAAATAGGACTCTTTCCTTCTTTTCTCTCTCTCCATTGCCAAAATGGCCTTATTTTGAAAATCTTATAACCTTTTTTTTACAAGTGTCTTACAGTAGCCTGTAGTAGAAGAGAGAGAGAGAGTGTGTGAATGTGTGTGAGAGAGAGAGAGTGTGTGTGTGTGTGTGTGTGTGTGTGTGTGTAGTATAGGATGGAGAGGTCTTCTTATTCCAGATTTGTGACTATAAAAACTAGGATTAGTAAGAATTGACTACAACAACGTAGCAAGTTGCTGGCTATTATTGAATTTCACGGGGCTGAGGGTAGAAAGCCTCTTTATGATGGCTATGCTGGCTTCTTATTTTAAAAAGTAAATAAATAACAGCCGTGGTTTCTAAACGATGGTGGCTTTTCTTAAGATTTTCAGTAGTAATTTTCCATGGGCTTTGCATTTCCTTGAATTGGACATAATTGAATCCTCCAAAGAGCCTCACACCGACTATGTTAGTGCTTAAAAGAAAACATATAAGCAGGCAACACAAATAAACCCCGCAGCCCTGCCTCTGCAGTCCAAAACCCAACACGGAGCTGAAAGTTCAGGGCTGCTCTTTGGTGAAAAGTTATCCATTCTACAGAGGGGGGGCATCATCAGTTATGGAAAGCTATTCTTAAAGTGGCTTTGGAAATGAGTCACTGCGGCTTTAAGCAGGTTATTGTCGTCTCCTGTGAGGCAAGGGAGTGCTCAAATTCCTGGGAGGAATGTTTCCAATTAGAAAAGAATAAGAGGGAATATAAATATTTAAAGCATCTAAGACACGGACACAATCTATGGTGCAGACTCTAACTTCGCTGAACCTTAGATGCTTGCTGGAGAAGGAGACAGCTTCATTGTAAGCTTTTCTGGCTGAGGGGTATCTACTGTAGGGCCGTGTTGCTCAAGGTGGTGTTGTTTTTATTAAAAGGAGCTCTGGAGTGGTGTTTTTGCAGGCAGAATGTCCCAGCTTTGCCTCTGAAAGCTGCTCTCAGCTTTGGTACATCGTGGACCTTCCATCTTGTCTCCCTTGTTCTCAACTTGGATTGCAGTTTCTCGAGTTAGACTCTGGGACTAAGCATTCTGTCCATATTTTCCTGCTGACCTTGGAGCAGCCAGTGGACTGGTCAGTGTTTGGGTACCATATGGTTATGCAAGCAGGCCAGCACACACTCATGTGTGATACCAGGCCTGGCCCCAGACTTTCACCTCTGGCTGCTGAGAGATGAAAACTTCTGCGGTAATCCATCTGAAACCTAAAAATACCCTCTGCTTCCCTGAATGAAAAAGAGAAGGCTAAGGACGTTAGGAAATACAATCAAAGCTCCCAAGCATACTCTTACGTGGGAAGATTAACTAGTTGGTTGATTACCCATCAAGCCTTCTGGATACAGAAATGCAATGATAAGTGTATTTTTGGTGATATCATGTGTAAGCTGTATACCACTGTATTGTTGAACTAATTGGCAAGTAACTTAAGAGACTATTGTAAATAAGGATGCTGAAAATTAGCTCAGGCTCGCTTTACTTTGCACCATTACACAATGCCAGTGGAATGGAGAGGTACAAGTATACCTCCTTTTAGCCAACAGATGGGAGGGTGAGAAAGATAGACATCAGATGACATTTTTAATTCAGCAGGGAAACTCAGAAAATCAAACGTTGGAGGTTGCTGTGAGTCAGAGCTGCCTCAACAGCACTTAACAACAATGACAGTATGCTGTTGTATAACACAAACCCTAGTATAAATTTTACTAGTTGACATTCTAAGTCTTGCTTTGAACGTACATATCCCATGAGATTGGGAAGCTGAGAAGCTATCTTTTTATCACACCCCAGTATTCCTCCTGCATCCTTTCTGTGGAATCTGTTCAAATGTTGACCTTGGCGTTACATAGTCTAGTGGATAGAGCTCTGTCATCCCCCATAAGTAATAGCTCTTCCAGCTGAGGGGAATATGGACTTGACCCAAGTCAAGCTTGCCCATCCTTCAGTGATCTGTGAACTTAGTGGCATACTCTATGCTTTGTGTCTAAATGATGACTTTAAGTTGCTTTAGTTAGGACGCAGGTTCGAGCCTCCAAACACATGGTACTTCATGTTAGTCAAGGAGTAACATGAAGCTGAAACAAGTTGCACCACACACAAACTAACTCTTGGAAATGACCTTCACCGGTAGAATTTTGTAAATGGGACCATGTATTAAAGACCCGATAAGAACACATTAGTTAAATGTGGCTTGGGTCCAGTGGGTAAACTGGATAGCCTGTAAATTATATCTCTATAAAGCTATTACAAAGACAAAAGAGAAAGCTTGAGGTGGAGCGAAAGGCCTCACTGTACAGTCCGACAAGGCCAGCAGCCACCCTTCCCCACGAGGTCATTTTTACTTAAAGTGACATTGTAGTAGGTTGCCTGGCTCCTAATTAAAGAGTGCAGTGCTGTGTGTGGAATACAATGGCAGGCACTGTTGGGGAATTCAAAAGAAATGGAAGCCCCCATCCCTGCCTTCCACACAGATGTGATGATACTCCGTCCCAGAGAAGTCTATGGTGTATGGATCTACTGAGTGATCCTTTTATTGTTTTATTTTGTTTGAGAATGCGGGGCGGGGGTGGGGGGTGTATATGCTTATAACACATTTGAGTTAGTTATAGAAATTGTGTTCCTTTGCCCTCGGGTGGATTCCAGCTCATAGTAACCCTGTAGGCAGAGTGTACCTGCCCCCACAGAGTTCCCAAGCCTGTAATTTTTATGGAAGGGGACTGCCACAACTTCCTCCCGCAGAGTGGCAGATAGGTTCGAACCACTGACCTTTTGGTTACCCCCACCAGAGCTCCTTATTTCTAGAGACCACTCATAATGAAGTATAGCTCTTCTACTTATCATCTCTTCTTTGCTGTCCTTTGTAGTTACTGCAACAAGGAGGTCTACAATAAGGAGAATCTTTTCAACAGCCTCAACTATGACGTCGCAGCCAAGAAGAGGAAGAAGGACATAATGAACTGTAAAACCAAGACTCACTGTAAGCCCTTTGGTGGGAACTTAAAAAAGCTGTGTGAAGATCTCTGTGGCTGGGGGGAGCAGGGGATTCGGCTCACAGCTCGTGTGTTAAACGTCTTAGTGTTTAATGTTTATGGCGCCCGTGACAGAGGTGACCGGGATCTTTGCACCGAAACCTGGCAGCATGTTTTTCCACGGAGATTAATGCCCTCTTTATAGTCTTGTTTACAAGTTATTTGCCAGGTGGCTTCTCCTTCCTGCTTGTCACTGGTATTTGATAGAGTTCTTTCCCGGTGATCTGGTTAGATGAATCATTTCTACCCAAAGGCTTTTATTTTGAATGGTGTTTTGAGGCTTTGAGCAAAAGATTTTGTTTCTCCGCTCTCCTTGTATAAACATGATTAGCATTTCTAGAAGCTGTGTGTCGGTATGAGTGGAGAATATATAAGCATGAATCACAGCTGTCCCGTTCCATCCATCTGAATGCACCGTTTCTTCAAGTTATCTGGGCCTTTTTTCAACTTTTTTATGGTCTCCTGTAAGTTGTAGGTTCGGTGCTTACATTGAACTCTACCCTTCTTCTTTTTTTTTTTTTTCCTTTCCTCCTGCTGTTTTTTTAGTTCACTGCTTTGGTACACTAAATCTGGCTCTCAAAGATTTGGAGGGCTTCAGACAAAGTCCCTTCTCGCTCCAGTACTGATCCTGTGCTTCAGAAAGTCAGTGTTTGAGGCTTTCTGGATTGTCAGCAAAGGCTTTGCCTTGTTTGTTAAAACTTTAAAAACTTTAGAGGAAATGAAAAAGAAGTGGTTTAAATTTGAGGCCATAATAAAAGCCTTGTCTTTTTCTTTTTTTCCTTCCTCTTGCTCTGCTTAGATTTCCACCAAGAAAAATGGATCTATGTTCACAAAGGAAGCACAAAAGAGGTAAGCCTTCACCATCACCCATCGTCAGAGTGAGCCTCAGTAGAATACTGCTCACGGCAGGGCAGGGGCCGGTGAGGAACAGCTTGATTGCAAAGCATCTTCCCACTGCTGCCTTCTTGGGTGTGGGCAGTAGTGGCTAGCAGTCCAGTACCTAGCCAGCCATCAGAGTTCAGTGAGAGAAAAAGACAGAGAAAATCAGCAGGAAACCACAGGGACCCCCTCAGCACTCAGTCAACTAATGTGTATAGAAGTGCTTTCTAAGGATGAAGGCGCCCTCCTCAAATGTGTTCCCGTAAAGCCCTGGGCCTTGTCTCCGTTTTGCTCTAAGATTACCTCAGACTTCAACCCGGTTAAGTTTTAACCCTGGAAAGGCCGCTCTCTAAATAGAGCAGGTTCCCACTGTCAGTTCAGTGTGAGGCTCAGATACAGGGCAGACAGCCGTCCAGTGACTCCGTTTGTATTTGTGTGACACTTCATAAAAGCCCCCTGTGACCCTCTCTTTGCACCTGGCACAGCCATTTGCTCAGATAACTGAGACACTAGGCATGGGGATAGAATGACAGAATTTCTATCAACGACAGAGACCAGGGGAGCATCTCCTTCCCTCACTGATCTGAGGCCCAGAGAAGGTCAATAGTACACCCGAGATTTCCAGATACTCGAGCAGAGCTGGCCGTGTTTGCCAGGCCTCTGCTCTCTCAATTCCCTGTGCATTCGTAGAGTAGAGGTCAGAACGGTGTTTGCTTCCTCACGAAGCCTCATGAGTATGGAGACTGCCAAGTGCTAGGCACCGAGTTGATGCAGGTCTGTCTAATTCTCCTCCTGGGGGAATGTTATGGTCACTAGTCATCTGTAGACTGATGTAAATTGTAAACCCAATTCCCAGCCTTTCCTTGATAAGCAACTCCTTAAGATTCTTCCAGGCCAATGCGTGCAGAGAGCAAGACCACAAATGGACAAGTCATGAAAATGGGCAGTGAGTCACTGGCCAAGGCAACCATCAGTTGCATTAGCCATCTTTGTGGCTCATGGGGATTCCCAGAAAAATGGTACGGTGGAGGAAGCAAATAGCACTAGGTCTACTAAGCAAGCTTGTCCAGTATAGGTCTGATACGATGGATAAGCCCTCAGCTGCTAACCAAAAGGTTGACAGTTCAAGTCAAACCAGAAGCACCACCGAAAAGAGAACTGACCCTGTGCTTCAGAAAACCCAGGGTGGGGCAGTTCTATTCTGTAAGTGAAAAGTCGACTTGGTAGCACCTAGCAACAATAGCAGGTTACTGTGGAGAATGAGTTCTGTCACCAGACTGACCTTCGGTTTTCTTGTTCAGCGCCATGGATATTGCACTTTGGGGGAAGCTTTCAACCGGCTGGATTTCTCCACGGCCATCCTGGATTCCAGAAGATTCAACTACGTAGTTCGGGTAAGTCTCAGGATCCCAAAGGCTCTTTGGGTTGTCTTGAACTCCTTTTCCTTGGAATAACCTTTTACAGGATCCGGGGAACATTGTGGAAAGGGGAAAGTAACATATTCTCAGGGCTTGTTGTTGCTATTGTTACTGTTACTGTTACCGTTATTGTTAGGTGCCGTTGAGTCCACTCTGACTTAGTGACTCTGTGTACAACAGAGCAAAGCTCTGCCCCAGCCTGTGCAACCCTCATAAAGTGTACATACTTTATCATTCTTGTGGGGATCCTGTAAGATATGCCAGCTGTTGGCTCCAACAGGCAAAGGACACCATTATCGCTCTTTAAGTCTTTCCCAGTGAAATTTCCTTGGGTTAAGGATCCTTGCTAGCATAGTGGTTAAGTGCTCATGAGCTAACTGCAAGGTTGGTGGTTCAAACTGACCTGCGACTCCAGGAGATTTTTGTTTCTGTAGAGATTACAGCCTTGGAAACTCAGTGGGGTAGTTCTGCCATGTCCTAACCAAAAGGTTGGTGGTTCAGACTCACCCAGAAGCTCTGAGGAAGAAAGGCCTGTCAGTCTGTTTCCATAGATTACAGACTAGAAAACCCATTTGGGCAGTTCTGCTGTGTCACATTGGGTCCATATGAATTGAAAATTGACCCTACAGCAACCAGGAACAGCAGGTTGTTGTGGGGAATGAGCTCTGTCCCAGGACTGAGCTTTGGTTTTCACATGCCATCGCCCATGACTCAGAATTGACTCGCAGCAGTGGGTTTTTTCTTTTGTTGGGGTCCCTCCTCGAGCTGACTCTGGAGAAATGGGAACGTGGTGCCGACACAGGCTGTGGCAAGAAGGAATTCAGCAGCCAGGAAGCCATATAGCACTCTGGCGTGTTTAAACCTCATGCACCTGGGGTTCTTCTCACTGTCCATCCCCTTGTCTTGCTTCAGCTGGCTCCAGACATGGCCCACAAAGCTGTGTGATTGGCAAGCTCTGGTGGCCTAGTGGCAGGAAACTGTACTGCAATCCCAGAGGTACACAGTTCAAATCCACCAGATTCTCTGCTGAAGGAAGAACAATAGCAATCAAGCAATAAAAATTATTTTTTAAAAAAGCTGTGAGTGCAGAGGTAGCCAGCTCCTCTCTCCCCCAGTTCCCGTCCCCAGCCCCTTGCACCTCTCTCCCATATAACAACAGCACTCAGACCAGGTTTGCTTAGAGCTTTAGGCCAGCTATCTCTTTGGGTCAGCTTCTTTCCCTTTTAAATCATACTTGCGGGGGCGGGGGGGGGGAATTTCTAATTTTAAATGAGCTTTTGCAAAGTGTTCGTGATAAAGGCAGGCCAGCAAATCACCTTAAGCATGACTTTCAACCTGGCGATTTTTTTTAAAAGTGGCTTCTTGTTGTTTTTTTCCTGCTGTAAGCTGTCTCGTGCATTTCTGTCCAGAGCTGGGTCTAAGAGCAGCCCCTGTTGGGGGTCTGAGTTCTGAAGTCGGAAGGGATTTCCCCCTCTAAGTGTGGCTCTGGGTCTGGGTTGTGTTGTGTCTGAATACCTTGTCATCAAGTCACATGATGCCAGAGGCCGAGCCAGAGGATGACATTCAGACCCCCCGAGTCTGGGAAGGCTTCCTATCACCTGGGTACTGCAAGAACTTTCTTATCTCCATTTAAAGAATTGAGGCCTAAATGACTTGTCCAAGGTTGGGACGCTTCACCAGTGAAGAAATAGACTTGGAAGTTGTTGATAGGGTCTCTATGAGTCATACACAAATGAAGAGCACTTAACAACAACACAGTTCACACTTTCTCCGTGACAGGAAGGTCTATGTAGACAGAGGTGGTTTTTTTCTTTTCATTTTTGAGTGAAAGTTTATAAATCATACTGGTTTTCATTTATTCATAAATATTTTGTTTTATAACATTAATTACAGTTGATTATTTCTGACAATATCTCATCAAGTCCTTATTGTACTGTACTTTCTCTTCACTCAATTTATCCATTTATTCATTTTGCTCCCCTCGCCCTCCCTTCTCATCCCTATTAAGGTAAGATGGCCTGAGGTCAAACGTCAGTTTCAGTCTCTCTAAGACTCAGCTTCCCACTGTGTCAGGGACTAGAATAAGCTCAGCTTTGTGGGTAGCTGTAAATCTCACCAGTGTGCGTGGAAATGCCCTGCAGACTAGAACCAGTGACAGCCCCTGATGTTTAGTATTACTCGTTTATCATAGTTCTCACAGGGGAAAGAAAGGGCAGCCTGCTCCCTGAAAGGTTCACTCACTCATTGCTGCTACCAGTCGGAGCCAACTCAGAGCTGGCCCTCCAGCAATTTTTCTGAGACTGCAAATTACACTGGAGTGGATTACTCATCTTTCTCCTGTGGAGCTGCTGGTGGATTCAAACCAGTGGCCCTTAGGTGAGCAGCACAACTTCATAGACTCTGCCAGCAGAGCTCCCTCCCAGACAGAGTATACTTTGGAATCTCTGGGGCGTTTCTACTCTGTCCTACAGATTCACTATGACTTGGAATCAACTCAGTGGTACCTAAAACATTATTCATGATTTCCCCCAAATGATGTGCCTTTCTGTTTAATTGGTGGAAATAAATTGCTTTTATTATTTAACAAAATAATAATTAACCAGGGACTCATGGACTTGATTGTGGTTCCGTGCAGAGAACGTGTGTCTGATACTACCTAATTGTAAAGTACACCATGGATACTTTCCTTTAAATAATCGTAAAATTAGAGAAACTGCCGAGTGCTTTCAAAATTGTTCCATCCAGAAATAGTGGAAGAATACTCCTATTTTGGAAAGAACAACCTTCCCCCTCCTTTTACTGTTCGAGCCCTCTGTAATTTGAGAAATAACATGTTATTTTTACAAAGAGCTTAAAGCATTTTAATTATAGGCCCTGCGTTTTGAGGTTAGTTTTTCTTTCTTCTAAGGGACTGAATACACTTCTCATATATTCTCTTTATCCTTAAACCAACTCTCCAAAGGAACTTGCCGGTGTGTAAGCCCCACTTTACTACTTTGACCTAATGCATTTTTAATACTTTGCTGGCTCCTTGGTTCTAATAAGGAGCTATTTTAAAATATATTTTTTTTCTGCATCTTTTTAAGGCCAAGTTACATTTTTTAAAAATTGATAGTGTTCATACTGACTCTCACCTTCAAAAGGAGAGACCTTCACAAGGTCACCATTTCTGTCTTTAAATGTTATAAATTTTTTTTTTAGTGGTCATGAACATTTTTAAATTTTTGGAATTAGGAAAAAATGTGGTATGAATTGGTGGGATTTTTATATCATCATTTGTGTTTTAATTGGCTTCAGCTATATTCTTGGTCCCTGCCCCCTTTCTTAATGACTTAAATATAGTTTTAACTGTGGGTCTGAAAGATGACTTCAAATCTTTAAAAGCAGCAACTTACTCATTTGTGGAAGGCCAGTTAAAAAAATGGTCCAACACACCCCTCACCCCACCTCAAGACCAACGTATCTGGATGTTCCCCTAGGGAGCTCTGTTGGGCCTAGTGGTAAGAAACTGCACTACAATTCCAAAAGCACACAGTTCGACTCCACCAGCTGCTCTCTAGGAGAAGGATGGACAGTCTCCACCCATGTGATTAACAGCCTCTGAAAACCCCGTTGAGGGTCAGCTGTGAGTCATTTCTGACTCGATGGTACGCCACAACTGGAGAGCTGGAGAGGCCTCCAGGGCTGGACTGTTGGTGGGGCTGGAACTTCAGAACCCATGGAACAGGAGTTAATTAACGCAGGGCACAGAGAGGCCAGAGAGAGAGAGATCTGTAGGAGAAACTGGGAGAGGGTTAGAGGCCAAGCACCGACTCACACTGGGGCCCAGACACCACACCTTAGAATCACCTGCAAGTTTGTGGAATGTAGAAGTCAGGTCTTATCTCTAGAACAGCCGGTTTCCTTAATGTGTTGGGGTCCCAGGCACTGGGGTATCGTAGAGATCTCAAGAAGCATCTTAAGCATCATGACTTTTTAAATAAGACACAATGAGGTACTCACTGGCTTCTCAACATGACTTTTTGGGGCGTTATCAGTGGTGGAAAAGGATATCCCCTCCAACCACCCAGAATTTAAACTTTAATTGAGTCATTCCAACTAAATGTTCAGATGATAAAGCTTCGTCTCGTACTTTGGGCATGTCGCTAGGAGAGGTTATTCCTTAGGGAGGGTCATCATGCTTGGGAAGGTAGAAGGACAGCAGAAGAGAGGAAGACTCTGAACCGGGTGGATTGACACAGTGGCTGCAGCAGTGGGCTCAAGTGTGTCCAAGATGATGAGGATGCCAGAAGCTAGGACAGGGTTCAGAGTCGTCGTCGTTCACGGGGTCGTTAAGAGTACTAGCCTGGACCTCGGCTCCCATAAAGATTACAACTCAAGCTCATGCAGTCATCTCATAGCTGACACGTCATTGGATCTCCAAGGCTGTAAACCTCTCAAGAGGAGATTGCCTGTCTTTCTCCTGTGGAGCTGCTGGTGGATTCTAACCATCACAGAGAACTAACTCGTAACTCACCCTCCAGGGGTTTTTGAAGGCTGTAAATTGCATGGGAGAAGACTGCCCAGCTCTCTGCCACGGAGCAGCTGGTAGATTCGCACCAACTGCCTTTAATTTAGCGGAGAAACTTCTCACAGGCTGTGTAACCCGGAGCTCCCAGATTACAGCTCCCTATCAATATTGTAAGGGAGCTCTGGTGGCCTCGTGGGTAAGGAGTTGCATTGCCAACCCAAAGACACGTGCTACACATCCACCAGCTGCTGCATGAAGAAAGTTGGGCAATCTTCTCCCATGCAATTTGTTGTTGTTGTTGTTGTTGTGTATCATAGAGTTGGAACCTACCCATAGCTGACCCTCCAGAGGATTTTCAGCAGCCATTAATCGCACGGGAGGAGATTGCCCAGAGCAGCTGGTGGCCTCAAACTGTATTCCTTTGGGATTGCAGCACAGCTTCTTGCCACAGGGCCATCAAAGCTCC